CAGAATGTTATTTTCTTAATGGGACAGGAACCTAATGAGTTAAAAACAGTAGATGGATGTATGAGGCCCACTTATTTCAAAATCCTAGGCCAATGCCAGTGGTGTAGTTCTAACAATTTCATTATTTTCTAATAGAACTCTTATAATTAGAGGCTTGAAATCTTAAGTCTTTAAACTATCTCAGTAATTCATAATAACTAGAGTTAAAGTGCCTATCGAGTGCCATTTTCACATTTCAACTAGTATTGGAGTGATAGTTTTTGTTACTTGTCGTAAATTAAAAATACTGTTAATATGTTTGTTCTTTTTTTTTTTAGAGTCTCAGTCTGTTGCCCTGGGCAGAGTGCTGTGGTATCATAGTATCACTGGAATTTCTTTCTTCAGTAGGTCCTTGGTCTCAGGGATTTGAAGAATGAACCCATGGGCCACAGATCAGTGAGATAGAATTTATTAGACAGAAAGGAATACAGAAGGAGTAAAAAGCACTAGAGCTTCTGAACAGAAGGAGTAAACAAAACCCCACAGCTTCTGGCAGAGGGAAAGACCCAAGTGGGAAGTCTCCATGTGGGTCGTTTGTCTAGGGGTATAAGGTCTTGAAAATTCCATTTTACTGGGAATTGGTAGATGACTTTTTCAATGTCAGTGAGTGTTATTGACGAATGAATGAATGCAGTTCCTCCAGGTTGGGGCAAAAGGTCAGGGGGTCCCTTCATGATATTGCTCAGGCTGAAGAAAACTGTGGTCCCCTCTCCAGCCGTGAATGGAGGAACCCTGTATCAATAGCTCACCGCAACCTCAAAGTCTTGGGCTCGGGTAATCCTCCTGCCTCAGCCTCTCAAGGAGCTGGGACTATAGGTGCCCGCCACAACACCCAGCTATTTTTAAAGACAGGCCCTTGCTCTTGCTCAGGCTGTTCCTGAACTCCTGAGTTCAAGCAATCCATCTGCCTTCACCTCTCAGAGTGCTAGTATTACAGGTACGAGCCACTGCACCCAGCCTGCCATTAATATACTTATTTCAAGTTATTGGTTCAACGATTTTTGGCTTTTTGTATTTAAACTTTTTGGAACATTTTTAAATTGGGCTAAGATTTTTTCTTTTGCTTTTGAGCATACTGGATGACATTAAAAAAATTATAAATGAGAGCAGCTCTCCACAAGTTATATTGGTCCCCTAGGAGAAGAAAAGTAGAAAAGAAGGCTGTGAATGGTTATTAATAATAGAGGGACTGATTTCCTGTGGGGAGCAGTGAGTTTCACACACGTCGGTGTGGGCCAGAAGGGCAGCACAACTCATGGGTATGACTCTTTCTTCTTGACGATGTTCCAATGAGTAGGAAACTCCGTGGAAACTCTAATTTTAATTGCCCGAAAGAGTGATATCTTTATAGCTACTTGCCTTGTCAGAGATTTTTGTTTTTTAATTTAGAAGTGAAGAAATTGTGGTTTTGGGGTCTTCGTTCCTATGAAGGCCCTAGGATAGTGCTTCACCAAGTCAGAGGGTATCCTGACATACCGTAAGAAATACTCTGGGTGTACAGGGAAGGGGACTGGGGCAGCAGTCAGACCACCTGGGTTCTGGGCCACCTGCGGGATTTGAGGCAAAATGGTTTAACCTTCATGTGCATCTTTTCTTTATCTGCAAGATGGCCTTGAAAATGTCGCTGTTCTGTCTCACTGCAGTGCTGTGAGGATGGGATAGTGGATCAGATAGCTTTGGAGAACTCTCAAACGTTCTTCCCCAACTTCACTGTGCACTTGAGGTTCTCATAGGCAGGCTTAGGGTGTGGTCCCAGATTCTGCATTTCTTTTCTTTTCTTTTTTTTTTTTTTTGAGACAGAGCCTCAAGCTGTCACTCTGGGTGAGTCTCCTGCCTCTGCCTCCCAAGTAACTGGGACCACAGGCACCCGCCACAATGCCTGGCTATTTTTTGGTTGCAGCTGTCATTGTTGTTTGGCGGGCCCGGGCTGGATTCAAACCTGCCACCTTAGATGTATGTGGCTAGCACCTTAGCCACTTGAGTCACAGGTGCTGAGCCAGATTCTGCATTTCTAATGAGCCCCCGAGGTGCTGCTGCTCCTTTGAGTCTGTGCACCCACCTCGAGAAGCCAGGTTTAGGCTAAAGCATTATGATGTCAGGCGGGATTGTCATTATTATCCTGAGGAGAGAAGCTGCCGCCTTAGCACAGAGCTTCCCAATATGAGTGTGCCACAGATGGCCAAGATGGGGGTCCTTGAGGCCCTGGGGCAGTGGCACAGGCCCTGGGGTGGCCGGAGCCCTCTAAGTTCCCCTGGCGTCCCAAGGATACCCCCGTTTTCTGTGTGAAGTCTGCGGTGGACCCCTTGGGAAGCACTCTACAATGTCCACAGATCTCCCTCTGGTTCTGAGGGATACTGGCTGGTGCAGGGGTAGGTCTGAGGACATAGAGATTTCCACAAACAGAATTTTGTTTTGTCCTAGACTAGTACCCCGACCGCCATTCGCTGCTCCTGAGGGCCTGTGTGGTCTCTGTGTTCCCCAGGAGGGTCCCTGCCTGGGTGGATGTCTGTTGCCCCCTTCTCTTTCCCCTCCCTCTTCCTGAGCTTGGATTTATGTGTGTGCCACTGCGATCTCCATCAGTCAAATCAAGTGTTAGACATTTATATTTGTATAATTTAAATTTATTTTAACTTTAAGTACTATTCTTTTTTTTTCTTGTTTTAGAAAGCTTTTTAAAAAACTTTCTGTAGTGTTGAAAGAATTAAAATATGAATACATTTATAAAATATGCCTGTATATTGTTTACTGGTTGTCATTTGTCTTTTCCCCGTCCTGTGTTACTAACTTTTTTGTTTTCAGGAAGGTAGAACGTGGGCTGCAGCTAGGAGCCTCCCATGTTCTCTTTTTATTTATTTATTTAATTTAAATTAATACGAGGATACAGATGTTGAGGTTACATTGTTTTCAGTTTTAGGGTAAAGTTCAAATTGTAGTTGAGCCCCTCATCTAGGGATCATGCTGAACTTTTTGTTTTGTCCAGTTATACATCCCAAGCCTGGTGTACCATAGGAGCTCAAACCACCGAGTGTTCAGTGACGTGATTAGAGATCTCAGTGCTTATTTTCTCTTTACCCTCTAGATGTTTATTCTTTTCAAGAAGAGGAACCTGTTCTGGATCCTCATTTGGCCAAGCACTTGGCACATTTTGGAATTGATATGCTTCACATGCACGGGGTGAGAAGGTCTACTTTGGTTTCTGTTCCCGCCTTGTGGGAGATGGAGTTGAGGGTGAAATGGAGGGAGAGGGAGCGGTTTGCTTTATTTAATATACAGGGTGGCAACTGCATATGAACTTTATGGCCACCCTGTGACAGATCATTTTATAGGTTCAGCTTTTAATTATTGCATTTACTTCTTGAATTTAATTAATGAGTGTTTTCCTTTGGTTAGCAGCTTAGATTTTTTATGTTGCAATAAAAAAGGCATCTCATCAAGGATGATTTTGGTTTAGTTGGAGTTGACTTGCAAAGTTTCTGTTTCCTTTGATTGGCTCTTACATGAATCACCCTTCATTCATGAAAGGGAGAAGGTACTAGAAGTTGATCTTTAAAATGATCTGTCACCAACATCACTTAAATTAATTACAGGAGTGAAGCAGAGCTCCTAGGCAGTGGTTCTGAACCTTCCTAATGCTGCGGCCCTTTAATACAGTTCCTGGGGTTGCGACCCACAGGTTAAGAACCACTGTCCTGGGAGGCGCCTGTGGCTCAGTGAGTAAGGCGCCGGCCCCATATACCGAGGGTGGCGGGTTCAAACCCAGCCC